AAGCCAAAATTGACGTCGCAGAGGCTCGAATGAGAGGTGAAATTGGAGAGGCCGAAAAGCGAGGCAAAACAAAGCAAGAGATATCCAAAATTGATGCAGAAACTGCCGTTCTAGAAACCAAGCGCCGAAGCGAGAAGGCGCAGGCAGATGCTCAGCTTACAAATCGCCAAACAGAGCTCGATATGGGCATTCGACTTGGGAAGATATCCGCTCAGCGCCAAGCAGAGATGAAAGATGCCGAGTTGCAGAAACAGGTCGAGACCAAACGAGCAGAAACGGAATTGGAACGCCTGCGGGCAATCGATGTGACCAAGAGCAAGATCTCAAGGGAGGCTGCTGAACAGAACGCTGATGCAGACCTCTACACCAAAATGAAAACCGCTGACGCTGTGATGTATAAACAAAAGATGGACGCTGATGCACACTGTGAGTATTTGGCCACTCCCCGCCCACTTCATCTGACTTTGGAATCATCTGAAACCCCTCACTAACCCGTGGACTGCCTCTAGACTATCGCGTCTCCAAGGATGCAGAGGCGGCATTTTTGGCAAAAACGAAAGAGGCGGAAGCTGCCTACATCGCGAAGAAAAAGGAAGCTCAAGGTATCGCCGAGACGGCCAAGGCTTACGCTGCGATGGCAGATGTATTTGGCGGACCGCAGGGCTTCCTACAATACCTTATGATTCAGAATAAAACGTACGAGGCACTCGCCAGAGCAAATGGTGAAGCTATCAAAGGCCTTGAACCCAAGATTACGGTCTGGAACACCGGTTAGTTTATCCGCTCCCTCACGCAAAATGAATTTTCCTGTTAGTTCGGCAACTAAAGATAGCGCAAATCCAGGTTCATCTGGCGATGCGTCACAGGATACCACTGCCCCAATCCGGAACCTCATGCAAAGCCTTCCACCGCTTTTCTCCACTATCCATGAGCAAACTGGGATCTCTCCCCCGACGTGGATGGCTCAGCTTCCGCACACCCAAAATCAGCTAAACTCTACTAGACAAGCTAATGACATTCAGGCGAAGCTCAAGTAGCCCTTCTATAAATGAAGAACCATAAATTTTGTGGTTTGATCTATCCTTATGAAATATCATGTGGGAGGAAGCATCTATCTGGTTGGTTTTATGGGACTCCTACTTCCGCTTGCTTGTCGGTCTTTTTGGTTATTTCGTTGCATTGTACAGTACAATACTTTCCTTTTATCTTCAATTCGTTCTTTCTCTCCTTTTACCACTCCCGGATTTCAACCCGGAATCTGATACCCACAAACTACCGCTCAACAAGAAGCGGACAGATCTTCTCATTTTCCAAAGTTTCTTTTCTTTTCCT